ATAACCCCGGGGGCGTTCGGGGGGGTCCCCAGTCCTTCCTGGGGAGCACCCGGGGCCGGCTCTGGGCAGGGGTGGGGGGCTCAGCACCCCCATCCCGGGGGGGTTTGGGCCTCTCCAAAGGCTGATCCCGGTGCTCCCGATGCTCCCGGGGAAATGGGGGGGGTCCCCTGGGATTTGGGATTTGAGGGGGGGTCCCCTGGCAGGGAGAGAAGAACCACGGCTTCGACGTCCTCTACCACAACATGAAGCACGGGCAGATCTCCACCAAGGAGCTGGCTGACTTCGTCCGGGAGAGGTACCCGGGGGGGTCCCCAAAACCCTGGGGGGGTCCCCAAAACCCTGGAGAAGGTCCCCAAAACCCTGGGGAGGTCCCTGAAACTCTGAGGGGGTCCCTAAAATCCTGGAGAAGGTCCCCAAAACCCTGGGGAGGGTCCCCGAAACCCCAGGGAGGGTCCCCAAAACCCTGAGGGGGTCCCTAAAACCCTGGGGAGGTCTCCGAAACCCCAGGGTGGGTCCCCAAAACCCTGGGGAGGGGTCCCCAAAACCCTGAGGGGGTCCCCAAAACCCTGGGGAAGGTCCCCAAAACCCTGAGGGGGTCCCTAAAACCCTAGGGAGGGGTCCCCAAAACCCTGGGGAGGGGTCCCCAAAACCCTGTCCCCATCCCAAATCCCTCTCCCCGCCATCCCCAGGGCTGCCATCGAGGAGAACTACGCCAAGGCCATGGTGAAGCTGTCCAAGATGGCCACAAACGGGACCCAGCTGGGGTACGGGGCTTTGGGGCTCCTCCAGGCGGTTTTGGGGACCCCGGTGACCCTCGTGGTGACCTCCCCCCACCCTCCCCGAGCAGGACGTTCGCTCCTCTCTGGGAGGTTTTCCGCATCTCCTCGGACAAGCTGGCCCTGTGCCACCTGGAGCTGATGAAGAAGCTGCACGACCTCATCAAGGAGATCTCGCGCTACGGCGAGGAGCAGGGCCGGGTGCACAAGAAGGTAGCGCTGTGTCCCCTCCACCCCGTCCCCGTCCCCTCGGCGCTGTCCCCAGCCCGGCCGGCCCCACGCCGCTGTCCCCCCGCAGTCCAAGGAGGAGGTGGCGGGGACGCTGGAGGCCGTGCAGCTCCTGCACGGCGTGGCCCAGCTGCTGCCCAAGTCCAAGGAGAGCTACCACAGCAAGTGCCAGGAGTACGAGCGGCTGCGCAAGGAGGGCACCAGCCAGAAGGAGATCGACAAGGTGACAGCCCCCGGTGTCCCCGTCACCCTCGGTGGGCCCTGGGTGGTTCCTGCCGCCTGTCCCTTCCCCGATGGTCCCGGAGTCCCCTTCGGTGGTGCCCTCGTGGTGGTTCTTGTTCCTCTTCCCTGGTGGTTCTTGAGCCTCCCTGCATGGTGCTGTTGTCCCACTGCGATCCCTGTCCCCTTCCTGGTGTCCCTGTCCCCTTCCTGGTGTCCCTGTCCCCTTCCTGGTGTCCCTGTCCTCTCCCTGGTGTCCCTGTCCCCTTCCTGGTGTCCCTGTTCCCTCCCAGCTGTCCCTGTCCTCTCCGTGGTGTCCCTGTCCCGTTCCTGGTGTCCCTGTCCCCTCCCAGGGTGTCCGTGTCCCATCCCTGGGTGTCCTAGTCCCCTCCTAGGAAGTCTCTGTCCCCTCCCTGGTGTCCCTGTCCCCTCCTAGGAGGTCCCTGTCCCCTTCCTGATGGCTCCTCTTTTCCTCATGGGTGGTCCCTGTCCCCCCTGAATGGTCCCTGTCCCTTTCCTGATGGTCCCTGATTCTCCAGGATGGTCCCTGTCCCCTCCCTGATGATCCCTGTCCCCCCTGGATGGTCCCTGTCATTCTCGTGGATGGCCCCTGTCCCCTGGATGATTCCTTGTCCCCTCCCCAACAATCCTCATCAAAATCCCGGATGGTTCCTGTCCCGTTCCTGATGATCCCTGTCATTCTCCTGCTGTCCCCTGTGTCCCGCTGTCCCCGGCTGCTGGCACAGGCGGAGCTCAAGTCGCGGAAGGCGGGCGAGGCGCTGCGGAGGGCGGTGGACAAATACAACGCGGCCCGCGCCGACTTCGAGCAGCGCATGCTGGACTCGGCCATGGTGGGCAGAGCTGGCGGCGTGGGGAGAGGGGTGGGGAGAGGGAACTGGGAACTGTGAAAGGGAACTGGGAATTGGGAACTGGGAACTGGGAAAGGGATGGGGAAAGGGAACTGGGAACTGGGAATTGGGAAAGGGATGGGGAAAGGGAATTGGGAAAGGGATGGGGAAAGGGAATTGGGAAAGGGAATTGGGAAAGGGAATTGGGAAAGGGATGGGCATCAATAGGATTTGGGAAAGGGAGGGGAATTGATGGGATTTGGGAAGGGATTGGCATCAATGGGAATTGGGAAGGGATGGGAATTGATGGGATTTGGGAAGGGATAGGCATCAATGGGATAGGGAAAGGCCCAACTGGGGCCATCCCACCCCTCCCAAACCCCTTCCCTGCCCACCTGCCGATCCCTGGGGATATCCCCCTGTCCTGACCTCCCATTTTTTCCTGCTCCAGCGCTTCCAGGAGGTGGAGGAAGCCCACCTGCGGCACATGAAGGGGCTCATCGGCTCCTACTCCCACTCCGTGGAGGACACCCACGTCCAGATCGGCCAGGTGAGTCCCCAGGTGAGTGCCCCCCTCCCCATTCCCATTTTCCCTCCTTATTCCAGGCGCCTTTCCCTTCCTTTCCCCCCAGGTCCACGAGGAGTTCAAGCAGAACGTGGAGAACATCGGCACGGAGATGCTGCTCCGGAGGTTTGCCGAGAGCAAAGGCACAGGGAGGGAGCGGCCAGGTGAGGCTGGGGGGTCGCACCTGGGCAGGGATGGGTCCCTGATCCGGGCTGATCCCGGCTGATCCCGGCTGATCCCGGGCTGATCCCGGCTGATCCCGGCTGATCCTGGGCTGATCCGGGCTGATCCCAGCTGATCCTGGGCTGATCCTGGCTGATCCCGGGCTGATCTGGGCTGATCCGGGCTGATCCCGGCTGATCCCGGCTGATCCGGGCTAATCTGGGCTGATCCCGGGCTGATCCGGGCTGATCCTGGGCTGATCTGGGCTGATCTGGGCTGATCTGGGCTGATCCGGGCTGATCCCGGCTGATCCCGGCTGATCCCGGCTGATCCCGGGCTGATCTGGGCTGATCCTGGGCTGATCCCGGCTGATCCCGGGCTGATCCCGGCTGATCCCGGCTGATCCTGGGCTGATCCCAGCTGATCCTGGCTGATCCCGGCTGATCCCGGCTGATCCCGGTTGATCCCGGCTGATCCCGGGCTGATCCCGGCTGATCCCGGCTGATCCCGGGCTGATCCCGCTCTCCATGGCAGGAGCGTTGGATTTCGACGAGTACCGGCTGGCTCCAGCGCAGGAAGGCAAGTACGTCTGCATCCAGCTGGGAATTCCGGGGGCTGCGGAGGCTCCTCCTCACCCCGATCCCGTTTTTCCCAGGACCCAAGAGGAGCCGGAGCAAAGCGTTCCGGATCCCGGGATTGAGCCGTAAGGAGCGGGAGCGTGATGCTGTGTAAGGGCCTGAATCCTGGCGTTCCTGCATCCCAGAATTCCCAGATTCCCACATCCCGGCAATTCCCGCATCCCCACATTCCTGCAATCCCGAATCCTGGCGTTCCTCCATCCCAGCATTCCCACATTCCCGCCATCCCGGCATTTCCACATCCCTGCATCCCTGAATTCTTTCATCCCTGCATCCCAGCATTCCCACATTCATTCTCTCATCCCGGCATTCCAGCATCCTGGCATTCCCACATTTCCACATCCCCGCATTTCCACATCCCTGCATCCCTGAATTCCCGCATCCCCGAATTCCTGCATCCTTGGGTTCCCCCATCCCTGCATCCCTGGGTTCCCCCATCCCTCCATCTCCAAATTCCCCCATCCCTGCATCCCCGAATTCCCCCATCCCTGAATTCCCCCATCCCCAAATTCCCCCATCCCCGAATTCCCCCATCCCTGAATTCCCTCATCCCTGCAT